TGTGTGTACCTAGGTCGTGAAATCAATATGATGAATGACCATAGCTCCAGAGCAGAGGAGGAGGAAGCGAGCGGCTTGGGGAGCCTTCAAGAGCATCGAGGGAGTAGCGAACAAGACGAAGAACACCAGGCTCCGTGCCCACCTCTTCGATTCCGCGGTCCTTCCTGCCTGACGTACGCCTCAGAGACTTGGACTCTACGAAAGCAGGATGAGCATGCGGTCGGTTCAACGCGCCATCGAAAGGGCGATGCTCGGTGTTTCCCGCTACACGCAAGAGAGAGGGAATCCGGAGCTCCGCACTCCGCCAACGATCGAAGATTGAAGCCAAGGTTTCGATTTGCCAAGGTTTCGAAGATCAGGTGGGCCGGACACGTCATGCGTTTCGAGGACGACCGCTGGACCAGAGCAATCACCGACTGGATTCTACGGGATGTCAAGCGAACGCCTGGAAGACCGCCTACGCGATGGTCGGACTTCTTCGTGAAAGCTTTGAGCCAATGGTATGAAGTTCATCGTGTCCCTCGAGCTGAGGGAGTTCATTGGGCAACTCTTGCACGTTGCAGGGACGAATGGAGACGTTACTGGCGCCCGCTCGAAGAACTCGATGATCAACGGGAGCAGATGTGATACAGGTGATACAGATAAAACAAAACGACTTCGAAACGAACCGTACACAAAGCTTGGAGAAAGCAAAGGACTACATAAAAAACTGTGAAGTGTAGGGAGCTTCCAGTCAGAATGGTTGAGGAAAGGAGCATATATAGCTATTATATTGTTCACACTTATATGGAAGTTTGCTTTAGACCACGTAAACGAATCAAATTCCAGATTGAGAGCTTCGAGCATTTTCAGGCCTCTGAAGAAGACGAGATAGTCTAGACGTTAGGTAAATAGAAGGTTCCATCTAACAACCCTCATCTGGCAACTACCAAAACATTTGCAACCTTTAATGGTTGTTTCGGTAATTAAGAAAGTCTTCGTTTATATATGTGTACCTTTTAAATGATGGGTAGAAACTAATGGAAACAGTCCCCCTGGAAATGCTGGAAATTACATAGTACAGCAAGTGTTCTCCCTAGATCGAATCATGCGCGCTACTATTTCAATAGCTCCGTTCGAGAGAACAACGCTGCCAACATGAATGTGTCCAGCATTCACGCCGTCACAGCTCTGTTGAATTCAACGAGTCAAATAGACCCTTTTAGGGACTTCTCAACGATAGATTGACCCCGAGTGGGACGCTGTAATCGAGCATGACCGTGAGCACCTGACGAGAGGAACGACTCTACACAATCAAGTAATCGTGCCTTTGAGCTGGCGAGATTTTTATTATCCCGCGTATTGCCAAGGAAAAGTGAATTGGGACATTTTTCTGCACACGAACGTTCTGTGAGAGGGCAACGAAATGTCGACGTTCGTTTTGTTTCTAATGGGAGTACATCAAACTCATTATTGGGAAAGTGTTCCTCAGCACCTTATGACCAAAGAAAAGAGAGAAAAAAATACCCGAGCCGAAACACTCGAGCTCTGCAAAGCGATGAGTACGGTTACGTTCATTTTTTCAACAAATCTGTTGCAAACCGCGATGATGATGCGATAGAAGTTACAGGCAATAGCCCAGGAGTTTGCTCTTTTGATGATTGGTCAAATGGAAATTTCATTGAGCGAGCTTTGATATTTTTTCTGGGGGTGAAAACCTCAATCAACCGTGTTCCTGGAGCAGCCAAGGGCCCCAATTGTGGAGCGAGTTGACGCGTACGGGTTGCCCTTGATTAGAGATAGCAGGTCCGAATTTAACACGGATGGGTGGTTTGTCTTCCGAGTCCAAGCCACCTAACCGAAAACCATTTCGATTGTTGGCTGCTTATTACATGATGTGTTTGACACCTAAAAACGGGATCTTGAAATCAGCGCGGAAAAAATTGCGTCAGATCCAGAAAAATTTCACGAACTCGTGAAGTAACCTAAAATCTTGGGAAGAAACTGATGAAAATGGCTTGAGCACAGTCAATCGGTGTTGAACCTAAAGCTTAACAGCTCTGCCTTTCACTTTTCACAACGTCCATCCACTATCAAAAAAGCGATGGATTTCTAAAAAAAGGCATTTTTGGAGGTTCTGGCCTAGTTGGTAGCGAGCTTAAAACTAAAATATCCATGTCGATATCACTTATTTTTCGAGAGGGTAGTATCAAAAACCGTCTTTGAGGTTGGGGGATCGTATATGGCAGAGATCATATATAACGATGGCGTACCCAGGGTACATCCCAGAAAAACCAACAATCTAATCTGTTTAGGTACTGCTATCCATTAGTTAGAGTGTTAATGCGCCAATGAATGAGAATGCAGAGAAGATGGCATGAGAATGATGATAAACCACCTGAGAATATAAGGTTAATGCTCAAATACCGAAGTCTGCATCTTTCAAACCTCTTGCTGTTCAAAGCTTTCAGGAGCAGAGAATACGCTGTATAGCACCTTGCGGGAAGAGACATCCAGCAATAGAGTGCCACAATCAATTGTAAAAGTGAAGCAGACACATGAGAAATGCGGTGCCATTAAACAGCCTGCACTGACTTCTCTGCATTTTAGCACGATGGGTTTATTGATTAACTTATGTCAGGGGAACGTAGTAATTGAGTTTTGGTGGCGTCTGCGTCGATTGACGATCGCGTAGGTGGAAGCGACAGAGCAGATTTCGTTTTCTGTTCCGTGCGCTGGATTTGGCAGCCTCTAAAGAGTGATAAAGTGGGAATTTGTCACATCATCCAGCAATCACTAAAAACATTCAACTTCGCCAATAACACTCCTTCACTTCAAAAAGACAGGGTAAAGGGCAACTACTGGCACGGTATGCACAGCAGCAGAAAAAAAATTGGAATGAGCCTAAGTTGCACACTTTCAACAGTTTTAAATACAATTATATAATCACAATATTAAATTGTACATATATTGAATTGTACATGAAAACGTTGTTTGCTCCAGTCATGTACTCCTGCTTCTACATGCAACAGCCACAGTCAAGCATCATGTCGCGGAAAAAGCCGCCGGCGAGAGCACGTGTCCCCTACCTACTGTCACAGAAGCAAGCATCGCAGACACGCTGCACGTCCAATTAAGTCGCCAGCATGTCCCGGTCGCATGTGTTTCTACACAGTTCGCGTGACGTGTGAGAAGTGCGGTGCTTTTGGCACTTTCCCAAGCCTTGTAGTCTGCGCTGTTAAATGCGATTAAAACACAAACTCTACGATGCGCAAAACAACTGACGCTTTCTTTGCTCATTCTGCGAACTCTGAATCACATGGCAACCAAAGCAAGAATTGAGGAGCATCCAGACTGATCCTGCTGTTGTTATGGAGAAAAACAAGCAGCGTCTTATAGCAATGCGAGAATTTAGACTCGCATCTGAAATGTGGTGAAAGCGCACTTTGACTCAGGAGAAAAGCGGATTTCTCTGAACCCCTGCAAAATTGTACGGTGTTATGAGTTTCATTTTTGAACCACCTCTTGCACAAATCGTCTCACCCACGTAGGTGCCTCTTCTCTCTGGACTCACGTAAGAATTCGGAGTTTCACGAGTTTCCAGGCCTCCACAAAACAATTACCCGTCTCCGCTGACAGGAACCTCTGGGCTTATGAAATCCACATGGACAGAACAGCAACAAAACAAAAGTGAAGCTAGCAAGTAATATCCGAGTGATTAGCCAAAAATTGTTAATAATGACACCTTAATGGTACACTACAGAAGATCTCACTTTGCTCAGAGAAAGACAACGAGTAGAAGTATGCCAATCCCAAAACCGGCTAGCAGAACCAGTTTCACTGTTCATAATTGAACTTGGGGTCGCAGACTGTGCCAGTCTGCAAAAATTGGTCATATGGCAACATTCCAGCTTCGATCTTCATCATCATACGCGCTTGTGAAAGGGATTCCGTTCGCAATCGCTTCTTCACACGACTGTCGCCCTACATTTCCCAGCTTAGGCAGCGTTCAACCTTGTAGCCCTACGTGCGCTATGTACCAAAGTCCAGCTTCCCTTTATGTTTTTTCTTTCTGAATTCAACCCCTTTCTCTTTGTTTCTCATATCTGATACTGAACTCCTCTTTCCTACTTTATCACATTTTAATGTAGTTAATGTAGTTAATTTCACAGCGATCCGACCTCGTATAGAATGAGAACAATGTCGCAATCGGGATCAACACGAGGTACCACTGCAAGATCAAACATCAATAGCACTGAAACTAAATAATTAAAGTCTAAATCGAAATATAAAATTAATCATCACAGTGTTCTGTATCAAAAATCACATTAAGGATAAAGGATAAAGTCTTCGCCGTTGATCAATCCCTTTGTGGGATGCGGCACGCATTCTACCTCCATTCAGAATCGTAGTGGCTTATTTATTTATTTATGCATAGATGACTCGCCAGAACAGAGAGTATTGGATGCGATGTGGCTTGTACAATGACTTGCGGGGCCAGCCGCATGTACAAGATCAGTGTCTTATCCTCTCGGACGAATCTGGTACCAATTTACCGTCCCCGGGAGGTAGAAGGCTTGGTTGGCCTGGGCGGGAGTCGACCCGGGACTTGAACCCGGCGCCGCGCGAGTGATGAGCGCGCCACTTGTCACTACACCACCTCCGCCTAAAAAAACCCAAGGTTAAAAAAACCCAGGGTTTAATTACCCAAGTTTGAGGTAAAGATGTCGGCTGTGGGGGATGAACGCAGCGACAAAAGAATGGAGCTTGAAAGGAAGAAGCAGAAGTTGGCCGAAATAAGGGAAGCCAGAAGGCGAGCAGATGGAGAGAAGAAGCGTCAACTCCTCGCTTCTGTCCCTGTTGAGAATGGTACCACTAAGCAAAGTCTCACTTCAACTGAAGTACAAGGTTTACTCGCCGAAGTCGGAATACCTACTGAGCCAAGGCTAGAAAAGACTCCAGAATGAACGAATGGTTTGAACGATAACGACTACCATCTTTCTCTAATGGCTTCTCAAATTATGGCCGGGTCTCGAAGCTTGCAGCTTGAGTTCTCTAATGTTCACTCTGTGGCCACCCCGACAAAAGACGCTGCACAATACTCTGAAACCACTCAAACAGATGATGATCGCGCATCGATGGGAGAATTCAGTACAGGTAGTCAAGAATTCGACTATGACGATGATATGCTTCCAATGGATGGAGGCGGATTTAGTGATCGTGTACACTAACATGATGTCGATTTTCCAATGACCGACGATTTAGTCGGCATACTGCCAAATATTCCAGGGTTTAATTTGCCAAACCTAAGGAAGAGCCGGAAACCGTCAAAGAGGAGCCGGCTCCTGTCCGTATACCGGACCTCAGTGAAGAGGAGAAAAACCAAATTGTAGCGAGCCAAGGATTCCAGATCTTCTTCAACTACGCGGCCAAAGTTATTAAACGGGCCCTCGCAGAGGCTGAAAACGTAGATATATTCATTGATTATGCGCGAGGTCATGGCGAAGTTATTGCATCGAGCGACCGACTTGTGCTGTCAAGAGTGTTTTCCGATCCAAAATGGTCTCAGAATAGAGCTGTTACTGGAATTGCCTTCTCAGAGCAACATCCAGAATTGGTTGCCGTATCGTACGACTACAACAAGGACATACCGTCTGAGCCCCCTGGTGTGGTATTGATATGGAATACAAAGTTCAAAAAGGTCTCTCCAAAATATGTATTCCATTGCCAATCGCGATTAGTGTCCGTTGCGATGGCACGCTTTCATGCACATCTTATCATGGCTGGATGTTATTCTGGCCAGCGCCCTCATTGCATTCGGACTGCTAGAGAAATAGCTGCGACCTCTAATCACGCTCGAAAGACTTCAGAACCTGGCAGAGTGGGCTCAAGCCGTTTTTTCGAGCTCAGTTTTGCTGCGAGCTCATTTATGATGTGCCTAGATGAGCAAATCCGCAGAAAACTTGTATACGAGGGTAGTTTAACATCCTGCTTATGAATATGGCATTCATTCTTAGCGCTGGCGCTGATGGAGAAGACTATAATTACCTGCGCTCTGCTACGGCTGAGCCCAGAAGATTATCGTAGTGCCCCCATTTGCGCCAGCACCAAGAATGAATGTCATATTCATGAGAAAAATGTCGAATAGACCCTGTATACAAGTTTTCTGCGGATTTGGCATTTAGGCACTTCATAAATGAGCTCGCAGCCGAAACTGAGCGCGTCCAAATGGCATCAGTCGGCAAAGTGTCGGAAGTACGCTTTGCGAGCACGTCACGCTTTGCGCAGACGGTGTAGAAACATATGCGACCGAGACATGGTAGCAACGCAGTCGACCGACCAGTCGTGCTTGTGGCGTGTTCCTTTCGAGATAAACTATACAGTGACCTCCGAGGACGGTCCCTTTCGAGTCGAGTTGATGGGTATTGATAGGCAGCTACAGTATGTTCCACTTCCTGCGCTCAAAACTGCACGAGGACTGTACGGCAGTGAATCCGCTGACCGTCCCCCTCGGCCTCACGTTATGACGCGGCTAGCTATTATACATACCTAACCATAGCCAATCGCACTACCGGTCTGCGCCCTTTCACCTCTGCTGTTCCCTACTAAAGTGAGTGTTTCGTTGTCTTGGACCTTGGTACTTGCACAAGTGCTGCACCTTGAGGGCGGGGTATGGTGTCTACACAGTGTCATTGCATAATCTCCCAGCGTTTTTGAGCGAAGAAAGGAAACGTTACATATTGTAGCTGCGGACCCAGCGAGAGTATAGTCCGTCCTCGAAAACATCTTTTCGATTTCTTTCCAAAGGGTTGTTGTTTCTGCATAAGTTTTCTGGATCTAGTGTATGTGTGCGCGATGAATCGCGACAAGAACGAGCGTGGGTCCTCATTCCCTCTCTATCCACCAAAACGTCAAATGAATGGCATGAGCGCCATTCTGCGATCGTGTGATGCCCATTCGTTAACCACTTACCTGGATTGTACCTTCTCATGCGGAACTTATGACTCAGTTATGGTTACATAATCATGTTGTACATAGTCTTGACTTCTTTCGCAAAATGATGAACGTAGCAATCAAGACCAGCTGTTCAAGACACCGCTGGAAAAATACGGGAGCAGCTGACCATAGGCTCATGCCGAAGTCTTGAGGCAGCTATTTTGAAGAGCACTCGTGCGTCAGCAGGCAGCGGTGAGGTGAGAAATCATGGTCGAAAATCGCCACGGTGTCTTCTTAAGGAGGTGGCCCATTAGAGAAGAACTCGACAGTTAGGCTCAGTTTCTTTTTTTCTGTGCTTCCTTGAATGTGCTGCTTGTGACCAAATCTCACCTGGCAGCGTAGCGTAGATTAGCCATAAGTATCCGCATGAGGACGCTACAAGCTCCATGCGAACGATCTGCCTTGGTTTTTCCAACATATAGCTTCTTTAGAGGTGTGTGGTGAGATGTATGCATTTTTGTTTGTCCGCCATGTAAATCGTGGTCTGTAATCGGAGAAGGGTTAGGAGAAAACGACCGTCAGCAAAGCTAGAATAAAATTGATGCCGCGACAAGAAACTAATGGTGTTCATTTGTAGCAACAACTATCTCGTTCTTTCTTCATCTTCATACTTCGCTGGCGCAGCGCTTTTTATTTCGATACTCGCCTTTTTGCACGATGTAGTGTATCTTCTTTACAAGGGTGCATCATTTTCATGTGCGCATTTATTGTACAATGCTAGCGGTAAAATAAACTGAGCTGGTGACCGTCAATTTCAAACTCGTATGCAATAGCAGCAATGCTGCTATGCTCGCGAAACGTGGCTATGCTACGCTACTACTACGCCTATCCTGCATCTTTTCGGTGATTGGCGACGCATATCTATCGTCGAATCATATCGTTACGAATTCGATCGAGGCATGAGATGCTTAGAAGCATCCATACGCCGAGTTGGAATTTGGCACTTTCGGTAGCTGGCCACTAATCAGATCCATGATGTGCTCGAGCCATGGTTCTTTGACTCAAGGGGAAGAGGCATGCGCTTGTCACATACTACGCCATCGTCCATATGATCGTCTCCATCTAATCAAGCCTCGTTGATTCTCATTGTTCACACCTCTGCACTGCAAGCAATACTCTTGGTAGCTGAAAGACATCCTTTTAAGCGTGTCTTCGCCGTTGACTTTGATCGCGCCTTTGCTAAAGTCAGTTTCCCAGCATTTTTTTTCTGGTGTTAAGGCTACATCGGCTTAGATTGTCAATCCATGCTTGTGTTTTGAAGCTGCTGTTCCTCTCTGTTCACGTTCAGGAGGAGAACATCGTCAGCTTAGAGCAAAGTTTATGGAGCAGCGCGTTGCAGGTCTCGTGTGAATGTGCGACGAAGATTGCAACGGTGGTTCTGTCCGTGTGTGCGTGCGTGCGTCTGTCTGTTTGTCACGAAATTCATAGCACCCGAAGAAAAACCTGGAGGGGTCGGGTCATGGTGAGGTAGATGGGTGGGGCGTGCGTTGAAAGTTAGCGATGCCACTGAAAAAAGTCATAACTCGGTTCCAGAGCTGTGCCGAGATGAGGAAGCAGTGCAGTGAAATTAACAAAGAGCTGGCCGACAAAACAGAGGAGACACACCTGAAATGGGCGGGGCGTACTTGAGAGGGGCGGCGCTTCCCGTGTCACCGAAAAAACACCATAACTTGGCTACAAAGCAGCTCGGAGATGGGAAAAAGTGGAGTAAGGTTAGCACTGGGTTGGCAGACCAAATGGAGGTGACACACCTGAAATGGACGGGCCGTACTTGAGATGGAAGGCGCTTCCCACAAAGGTCGGTAACTCGTTTCCCGAAAATGTTTGAAGATTGCAGGGAAGTTCGTGACGAAGATGAACATCTGGCAAAAAACCACTATCTTCGCGGCGTGCTGAGGGCCACCCACAGTGGGCGGATCGTGCATTTGACGAGGTAAGAGTAGAAAAGATCGTAGTTTGGTCCTAAAGCACTGCAGATGGTGCCAAAAAGTGGATTATGGTTTCTGAGTGATCATATTTATGTGTGAGGAACTCCCGTTGTGGGCGGAGCGTGCGACGAGGTGGGCGACGCCAAATTTAGAGAAAAATAGCAGGACGGTTCTGGAGCACTCCAGACACCTGGGAAAAGTTGTTGGAGATGACCGAGGGGTTATTAGTTGAGAAGCGCGAGGCATACGTTGTGGGCGGAGCGTGCTCCGAGGTGGATGGGCAAAATTAAAAAAAATTCATAAAACAGTTCCAGAGCGCTCCAGACAACGGGAAAAAGTAATTTGAAATCATCGAGGGGTCACCGTTCCACAAGTGTGAGGCACATCCGTTCTGAGCGGAGCGTGGCGGACGGTGAGCGCAGCCGACTTCAGAAATTCCTGAAACGATTCCTGAATACTCAGACACCGGAAAAAAGTAGGTCATCAAGAGGTCACGGTTTACAAGTGTGAGGCATGCCCGTTGTGGGTGGAGCGTGCGTCTAGGTGGGCGGGTCGGTCTTAGAAACTCTTCAAGCGGCTCCAGAGCACTACAGGCGCACCAAACGTCTCCTGTGATATGGCCCCGCCTTGCGGGCGTGGCTCCATCGCGCCTGCTTGCATTCGTATGAGCGAATGCTCGACTAGCACCCGACATTTTCCTCATCTGTCCACTTGATCAACGCTCCTTACCGCCATTCCATACAGCGTAATGAAGTTGGACATAGCGCGTATGATGTGGGATATGAACATGCTATTGGTCAAAGAATGTTGACCATCTGTCCCAATAAAAGAAATGCCTAATACTAGGTGGGTATTGAAATGTGAGGAAAAAGGTAAGCGCGGCGGAGCCGTGCTGTAAGGCTGCGTTTATACTTTGCGGCAGCGTAGCGCTTCCAGCGTACGCCAGCGGCAGTGTCGGGGAAAGGATAGATAACGATCTAGCGTTCCCAGCGTCACCAGCGTGCTGCTAGCGCACGCCAGCGGCACGCTAGCGCTCGCTGGCGTAGCGAGGGCACGGGAAGCATAGCTATCGATCTAGCTTCACCAGCGTTTCTCCAGCGTTTTCCCAGCGCTTACAGCGACGGAGCTAGAGAGGGGCTAGGAGTATCGAAGGGGGAGAGTATTTTGTACTCTCCTGCTTTCAATACTCTCTAGCCCCGCTAGCGCTTGCAGCAACGGGGCTAGAGAGGAGGAGGCGCGCCGGCATCAGCCGGCGAAGCCGCTGGTATAATATACACAGGGGGGAGGCAAAAAATACTTCGCCCGAGGCACATATCAGTAAAGAATACGCAGCCCAGAGGGGAGACGTGTATACGAGTACGAGGGCGGAAGATACCCAAGATGTTTCTTGATAAGCAGAAGCAGGCTCTTGTCCATCACTTTCTTGGAATATGAAGCTATCTCAATGGCAGTCAAACTGAAGAAGGCATATGGATTTCACGTCACCTCCAAATAGCTTCGGATCTTCTTATATCGAGTCACCCACGGACAGGCACTCTTGATCTGGAACACCTCCAACATCGAGCAGCTCTGACAACGTCGCTATGGTCCAGGATATCATCTTCTCTGCAGTCGCCAAGGCGCGGGTTGATGGTATGGACCAGACAATCCTGAAATGGGAAGATCGATACTTTCTTCAATGAAAGTGAACGCTGACTGTTACATCGGACAGCTCGGGGATAATATCCTGCCTTCATGTCATCGCTTCTACTGTCTTGTGAACTGCTGCTGGATTGGG